AATTCTTACGTTTTTATTTAAACCAATAAAAAATAGTTTTATTTTGAAAAATTTCAATTTGTAACATAAATTTAGTATATATTTACACAATTGTAATATTTTTTTTTTCGAATATAGCATAAACTTTACTTTTCTTAATATATTTTATCTTAAATATGATTCAGTTTGATTTGAATTATGATATTTTTGTAAAGCTAAAACAGCCGGCTAAAAATAAATTATATATAGATACTTTTTTTCTTTTATTAATTTGCTTTTTATATTTTTTAAAAAATATAATATTATAAATGTGGGGTGGGACATTTTATTTATAAAGAATGTTACAATGATTTCGGGTATTTGGTTAGTGATTTAACAATAAGAAGTTTGAAAATAGGAGATCTAATAGAAAATAAAATTTTTTTTTAGTAAAAGAAAATAAAAGTTTTATTCTATATTATCAATGTTTTTTTTTTTATTATGTAGTTGGTAGCATATTTAATTTTAAAAACACTTGATCAAATGTAAATAATTATTTTCAAAAGTTTTAGTTGTTTCCGGATCACAAAATTAACAACAATCTAAAATTGTTTCCGAAATAAATTTACTGACCTTTTTATAATTAAAGATATTATAAATTTAAAATAGTAATTCCTTTTATCTTTCAATTATTAGTGTACCCGACATTTTACCTGGTCGGTTTCCTATAAAAACAAGCAATTTCAGGTTCAATAATTAATAAGTTATTACATACTAAGTCATGAGAATAAAATTTTAATTTTATGGGGGATAAAATTTTAATTTTATGGGGGAGTAGTACGCTATTTTATCAAATTAAAACATAAAGTATTTTAAATTCAATTAATAAAGTATATTAAACCATTTTATTAATTAATTTTTAACATTTGGTGGCAATAAAGATTTGATCGAGAAAAATCAATATATCAAGGGTGAAATGACCTATTTAACCTAATTTATAATGTAAAATTTGGTTTAATTTAGAAAAAAATTACGTGTCCTCCCACCCAAATTATTATAAATTGTTATAATTAAACTGATTAAGAATATCTTTAAGGTTGAATTAAAAAAGAAAAAAGAAGGAAAATAAATAAATAAATAAATAAATATATATATATATATATATATATAGATTCGAAACATATGAAATAAATCCACTTGAGAGAGGGTGACGGAGGAGAGAGAAACTTCTGGAAGAAACGTGAAACACATGGTCCATAAAGTGCTCAAATCTAGGTTTAGCACATTAATTATATTCAAATAATATGAGCCAACATATTAATTTATATCGTGGAATACAGAGGATTGTTTAAAAGTTTTCAATTTATTAATTTATATCTCACATTTTTTTAATTATATATGTTTTTATTGGGTAATATTAAAATGCATGATGATAACGTTCCAAGTTTGAATAAGTTGATATTTAGTGAGTTTATAGAAATTCAGAGAAATTAAGAGATCACATAATATAAAAAATTTTAGTTTCTCCTCTAAATTTGTAAGGAAAAAAAAGAAAGAATAACTACGATTTTTTCGTAAAACCACAATTTTGTTTTATTTATTTGTTTTTTAGATTTGGTGAATGTTTGTTTAATAGATTTATTTTTGATTTCACGATTTTGGAAATTATGAAAATCAATTTTCAATATTTTAGATTTTAGATGAGAAACGGTAGGATTATGTTAAAAAAAAAAAGATAAAAAGTATGATTAATATATATATAATTTCATGTGTTCAAATTAAGAACATGTAAAAAAATAATAATAAATAAATAATTTTAGTAAATTAATTAATAATATTTTAGATTCAACTAAATATTTAGTTCATAACTATTAACGGTTTACAAATATTTTATTAAATATATTTTGAACTTTTAAGGTGATTTTCCAATCTCCTAACAAAACACATATTCAAAAATGTTAAAAACATTGGAAAAGGTTACAAATATGAAATACCAACCTTTTTTTTTTAATATTTTCAATTTATATTTTCTTATTAATGAAATTTTTTTATATGATTGTAGTTCAAATGTTTTTTTTTTGTCGGTATGTTGTTATCTATGTGAAATTTCAATTCTCTATATATTACAATCAATACCGCGTGAATGGATAATAGTTAGTAAATGGTCTTTTCAATACAAAAATTAATATATGATTTCACATTGTCCTTAGTGACAATCAAGACTAGTAAGCCCATTGGTCTACATAATTATCCATGTATCGGTAGAAAATATGGGAATTAAATAATTACAAAATATGTCAGCGTTTTAACCAATCCATGATAGAAATTTCGACTTTTGTTTCTATTAGGTGACCTAATTGATAATCTATTTTTTCAAACCTTTTTATATCACGTAAGCTTGCTATAATTCAATTTTAACATTTATTGATAGGAAATGTATAATTGGAAAATATTAAAATATTAGGAAGTAAATTGAAAATGTGTATAATATGAACTAAATTGGAAAAAAAAAAAATCAAATGATTGCAAAATAGTATTGAGTATGCAACCAAAATTTTTGATTTAGGCAGGAGAAAAATACATAATTTAATTGGTTAAGACAGTTATCCATGATATCAAATTATTGCAAAATCGCTTTGCGAGGAAGAAAGCTTTCCTTTTATTTTTTAAGGCTGCAAACAAGCTCTCTTTTTCCTCTTCGATCACTCGAACTTTGATTTTAAAGGGTAATTTAAGGAAGCGAAGAAGCTCACGGAACAAAATAATATACGCGACAGATAACTAAACATGCATTAAAAAAAACTACAGTAAGAAGTAAGATTCTGTCCCAAGGAGATAAAATCGTCGCGACTCATTCAATAATTTTGAATTTTTCCATTTAAAGAAGACGTGGGTCACGGTGAACACCAGCAGCATCATTGCCAAAAAAAAGAGAAAAAGAAAAGCCTTGCCATGTGGGTTTCTTGCAGCATGAGAAAACAAATTATTACAAAATGTTTCAATGGTAGAATTTGTCAAACTTGAACTACTTTTTTTCTACTTCAACCTTGAAAAGTTCTCTGTTTCATCTCCTCCATTTCTCTGTATCATGTAAGTCTGTTGTAGCTTGCTGAGATTTCCCTTTTTAATCTTCCGAAGGATGATGGATTCTGCAGCCTTGTTTCTTTCCCTGAAATTAATGACTGGGTGTTTCTTTATTTGTCAATTTCTTTGGGGGTTTGATTTGGGTCTTGTTATTTTATTCATTTTCTTAGTTTATTGTTTTGTGTTTCTTGGCGCCGGCAATCTGCTTAAGTAGTGCATCCAACGCCTTGAGAATTCCTCTTCTTTGATCCATTTTAACTTCTTCCTTTCCCTTTTATATTGTTTGTGTATTTTGTTTTCTGGGTTGTGCGCTTCTGTTTTGCATCTGTAGTTTCTCTTATTTTACTTTCGTTCGAACTTCCCAAGTCACTGGATTCGATCATTAGTGAGTTAGTCTGTCATTTATAGCCTCTGTTAATGGCTCTCCATCGATTTTAATGTAGCATTTTGATTGAAATTTCATGGTTTCAATGTGTTTTTCAGATGCTTGTTATGATTTCTGTTGAAAGTTTGTAATCTTTGGACTTACCTGCTTTTTTCTTCTTCTTATTTTGTGTTTGCTTTTTCAGGAAATTGTGACAAGGGAGTGTTGTTTCCTCAAACATACGTATGAATCTGAACTCATAATCTTTGTGCTGATCAGGGAATATGGCTTCTGCTTCGTGGTTGACATCGCTCTCTTGCACCGTGACAGATGGGGTTTCTCCTTCAAATATTTTCGAATGGCTGCGGTTCATTTTCCTATCTCCATGTCCTCAAAGAGCACTTTTATCTTCTTTTGATCTTCTATTCCTACTCCTAGTCATATTNTTGTTTGAAGAGGAAACAAAATTGAAGGTTATAAATAAAGTTATCGGTGATGCAAACCATTAGCAATGAACGATATTAAGGTCTCCCCTCTTGATTAATTGACGAAAATAAGGATTAAGATATGAACAAAGAGGAAAGATAAATAAATTGAACACATTCGAACCTAGGGACCACTATGACAAATTTGTTACGGGTGGAAATTGTTTTTTTTTCACAGTCAATCAGTTTTCGTTGCCGTTCTCATAATTTCCATGGACCCATGATTTCCACTCATCTCAACTTTCAACTATTTTTCTCTCAACGAATATATTTCTCTTACGAAACGTCCTTAAATGATCCCACACTCATATTTGACTTTTATAATGCATGGCCTTCCACAATCATTGAGGGTGTTGAATTTTACCGATGTAACTTTTACCATGGCGCACGACTTCCCCGACTTCCCCCGCTAGACGATGCTATTTCAACTAAAATTCTAACCCTTAAATATGCTTCTCTCCCTATTTAGTGTCATTTCATATGCGACTAAAACTCTTCCATTATTTTAATTTACAACTCATCGTCTCGTGCTCTCATATGTAACCTTGATTTTTACAACTCACCCTCATGTTATCGTTTTGAAAGAATTTTAGATGTCAAGGACTAAAACAAAACTCCCAAGTAATACATGCATAATTGAAACACCATTATGGGGTATAATTAAAACCTTTAACTTCAACAAGTGATTAGATCTTCTATGGCTCACCATGATAATGTCGTAACCTTCTCGACTTTGGTTTTGAAATTACTCAAAAGACTTCAAAAGACCCAATTGATCATATCAACGTAAATATTGTCCTTATGTATACTAACGATCTTCTTCTTTACTCCACTCGTAACTTTATTTGTAGGATATTTTCATCTACATTTTCACGATCCACATCGACATTTTTACCGGTTCATCCCGTCGGAAGGGCAAAAGGGAAACGTGAGTCTGGTGAATTAAAATATGCAGTGAGCTCGCAAAATCGGCCACAGCACGTGGAGTGTATAGAGAAACAAGCAAAATGGGCCACAACCAGAAGAAAACAAATCATCACAAAATTTGTCTAAATTCCGCAGTTATTTCGAATTTCCCATCCCTTCTCCTTTCTCTGTATTCTGTAAGTGTTTGCATCACAGCAATCTCTTATCTTCTTCGTTTGGTTCTCATTTGTTTTTTTCTTTTTCTTTTTCCATGCTGCATCTCTTCATTCGTTAGTCATTGAGGTCTCTGTTTCCATTTCCATGGAAGAAACAGAGCTTATTCAGTAATCCACTTATCTGCTCAAGTCTTTTGAAGTTTTCTGAGGAACGATCGTTTTTCTTTCTCTGAATTTAGTGACTGATTGTACATTTATTTGTCCATTTATTTTGGCGGTTGGGTTTAGTTTGTTTTATTTCTATGGTGTAAAACACTTTCTTAGTTTCTTCATCTTCTCAAGTAGTTGCCTCCAACATCTCGGAAGTTCCTCTGCTTTTATTTGTTCTTGTCTTATTCCTTTCCCTTTTATGTTGTTTGTGTATTTTGGTTTCTGGGTGGTGCGCTTCTGTTGTGCATCTGTAGTTTCTCTTATTTTATTTTCCGTCAATCTTCCCAAGTCACTGGATTCTATCATTTGTAGCCTTTGTTCGTGGAACAGCATCGATTTTAACGTAGCTTTTTGATTGAAGTTGGTTTCAATGTATTTTTTAGATGCTTGGTGCGATTTTATGATGAAAAAGTTGGTAATCTTTGGACTTATATGCTTTTTTCAGGAAACTGTGAGAAGGGAGTGTTGTTTCCTCAAGCATACGTATGAAGCTGAACTCATAATCTTTGTGGTAATCAGGGAATATGGCGTCTGCTTCGTGGTTAACGTCGCTCTCTTGCACTGTGACAGATGGGGTTTCTCCTTCAAATATTTTCGAATGGCTGCGGTTCATTTTCCTATCTCCATGTCCTCAAAGAGCACTTTTATCTTCTTTTGATCTTCTATTCCTACTCCTAGTCATATTGTTTGCAGCTCAAAAGCTTTATTCTAAATTTACTGCAAAAGGTCGGCCTGGCTCTGATTTGAACGAACTCCTCATTGAGAAGAATAGAACTCGTCTCGAAACTACGATCTGGTTCAAAATCTCTTTGATTTTGAGTGTTCTGTTTGCCTTAATTTGCACTGTTTTTTGCATTGTAGCATTTACTACAAGTAAGCAGCCGCCATGGAAATTAACGAATGGATTATTTTGGTTACTTCAAGCTGTAACTCATATAGTGATTGCTATCTTGATCATCCATGAAAAGAGATTTGAAGCTGCTAGGCACCCATTAACACTCCGGCTTTATTGGGTGGCAAATTTCATTGTTATTTGTCTCTTTACTGTATCTGGGATTATTCGTCTGGCTACCACCAAAGAAACTGAGGAACCCAACTTGAGGTTTGATGACATTGTGTTCATAGTTTTCTTGCCATTGTCAGTGGTTCTTCTTTATATTGCCATTGAAGGATCAACTGGCGTTAGGGTGATCAGAGCAGTACAGGAAAATAATAGAGATGGTGAGGAATTTGAACCCTCGAATGAATCCAATGTAAGTGCCTATGCTTCAGCTTCTTCACTGTCCAAATTATTATGGCTTTGGATGAACCCTTTGCTTAAAAAAGGTTACATGGCCCCTTTAAGTATTGATGAAATACCATCCCTTTCTCCAGAACATAGAGCTGCGAGAATGTTAGCATTATTTGAATCAAAATGGCCTAAGCCACATGAGAGATCTGAGCACCCTGTTCGAACCACATTGCTTCGATGCTTCTGGAAGGATATTCTCTTCACTGCTGTTCTTGCAGTTACCCGAACTGGCGTCATGTTTATTGGGCCTGCCCTTATCCAAAGTTTTGTTGATTACACTGCTGGAAAAAGAAGCTCCCCTTATGAAGGATACTTCCTCCTATTGACCCTTGTGCTTGCAAAATTTTTCGAAGTTTTAACCACTCATCACTTCAACTTCCACTCCCAGAAGATAGGAATGCTTGTACGATGTACCCTCATTACATCTTTATACAAGAAAGGCCTAAAGTTATCCTCGACAGCCAGGCAGGCTCATGGTGTCGGACAGATTGTAAATTATATGGCTGTTGATGCTCAGCAACTTTCAGATATGATGTCACAGTTACATGCTATATGGCTGACGCCATTTCAAGTTGCCGTAGCCTTTATGCTCTTATATAAATATCTTGGCGGTGCAGTGGTTGCTACAGCGGTCGGACTTTTGACTGTTTTTTTGTTTGTTATTTTTACTACCAAGAATAACAATACATTCATGCTCATGTTGATGATGGGCCGTGATTCAAGGATGAAGGCAACAAATGAGATGCTTAACAATATGCGTGTGATTAAGTTCCAAGCATGGGAGGAACATTTCGAAAAAAGAATCCAAAATTTCCGTGCTACAGAGTTCAAATGGCTTACGAAGTTTATGTATTCGGTATCTAGCAATATGGTGGTTCTGGGGTCCGCCCCAATGCTGATATCAACCCTTACCTTTGGCTGTGCAATCTTATTTGGTATTCCACTGGATGCAGGGACAGTGTTTACATCTATGAGTCTCTTCAGACTTGTGCAGGAGCCCATCAGAACCTTCCCTCAGTCTTTAATTTCATTGTCACAAGCTGTAATATCACTTGGAAGGTTAGATCGTTTCATGTTGAGTGGGGAGTTGGAGGAGGATTCAGTGGAGAGGGAAGAAGGATGTGACGGTGGAATAGCGGTGGAGGTTCGAGATGGGTCATTCAGCTGGGATGATGAGAGTGGAGAAGTTTTGAAAAACATAAATTTTAATGTTAGAAAAGGAGAACTTATAGCTGTTGTTGGCATTGTGGGATCTGGGAAATCTTCTCTCCTAGCATCAGTTCTGGGTGAGATGCACAAAATATCTGGAAAGGTATAATACTTTTTCCATTCACAACTACTAGCATTTTGCATGTAAATTAGTATGCAGTAGGACTTGTTATTCTGAATTTAATCAAATAGATTCCCTTCTTTAATATTTATATAAACCATTCTACTAAGTGGAAACCTGCAATTTCTAACTCGTAGGATTTATGATAATATTATAATCCCAAATCTCTTTCAAAAAACAGGTCCGGGTATGTGGGAGAACGGCTTATGTTGCACAAACTTCATGGATTCAGAATGGGACTATTGAAGAGAACATATTATTTGGTTTGCCAATGGACAGAGAAAGATATAGGGAAGTAATCCGAGTTTGTTGCCTGGAAAAGGATTTAGAAATGATGGAATTCGGAGATCAAACAGAGATTGGTGAACGCGGTATCAATCTAAGTGGCGGCCAGAAACAGAGAATACAACTTGCCAGGGCAGTATACCAAGACTGTGATATTTATCTTCTTGACGATGTGTTTAGTGCCGTTGATGCTCACACTGGGTCAGAAATATTCAAGGTGACAAATGACAAAGAACGCATGCACAAAATACCCTTACATTATGTTTGAAAGTAACTTAAAAAGTGCTTTTGATAACAATTAAAATGATTTTTAGTGATTTGCAAGAAAGCACTTGCAGAGTGCTTTTGGTCCTAGTAATTGATCAAAAATCACTTACTTAAAAGCACTCCTAAGAGTGTAGAGTCAAATATTAAGGCCACATTTCATAACTATTTGGATTTGGATTTTTGAAAATCAATCTTATAAACACTACTCCCGCCAATTTGGTGCATCCTTCTCCACATTTTTCACCTGTATGGTTGTCTCTTGTGTATGACTTGCATTGATGGAAACATATTGTGCTTGGCTCGGTAGTCATAAACCATGCAATAGAAACGGCGTTCTTTATTCTTGATGGATGAACATGATCTTGTCACATATACCTCACTATAAATAAATGTCTTATACTGCCTTCACTCAGGTGCTGTTAAAGATAAGTGGCTGTGATAAAATTGTACTTTCTGCAATTTCACATAAAATATGAGTATCAGGATGTGACGTTCAACTCATTTCTATTTGATATTTTCGCAGGAGTGTGTGAAGGGAGTCCTCAGAGACAAGACTGTCATACTGGTTACTCACCAAGTTGATTTCTTGCACAATGTGGACCTAATCTTAGTAAGTATATAATTTTCGAAGCAAATTTTTTCGGGTAGAAATTTCTAAAGCAAATTATCCCTCGCAAGTATATAGCTGAATATTTTGTTGTCGCTTGAACTAGGTCATGCGAGATGGGATGATTGTGCAATCGGGCAAGTACAACAATTTATTAGATGCTGGAACAGATTTTGAGGCCTTGGTCGCTGCACATGAAACCTCCATGGAAAGTGTGGAAAATACCACTGCTGAAGCAGGGGAACCCTCCCCCCGGCCCCTTATACGAAAATCTTCATCCAAGCATAGCGAGGCCAATGGCGAAAACAATGCTGTTGAGAATCCAAACGCAGACAAGGGGTCTTCTAAGCTCATCCAAGATGAAGAGAGAGAAACAGGAAGAGTTGGTTGGCAAGTTTATAAAGTTTACTGCACGGAGGCTTATGGATGGTGGGGTGTGGCTGTAGTGTTGGTACTTTGTTTAGCGGGGCAATTATCATCCATGTCCAGTGACTATTGGCTGGCATATGAAACTTCGGACGAGAATGCAAAATCGTTCAATCCCTCGCTTTTCATTACCGTCTATGCGATACTTGCAGTTGTTTCAACGGCGGTGGTCGCTTCCAGATCCTTTTGTACTATAATTTTGGGGCTCAAGACAGCCACTGTTTTCTTCACACAAATTCTTACTTGCATCCTACATGCCCCCATGTCATTTTTTGACACTACACCTTCAGGAAGGGTTCTAAGTCGGGTAAGAAATCAAAGCGACAAAGCCTCACCAATCTGTTTTGCTCATTAGATTCATTTATTTTTGGTTTTTGCTGTCTGAGTCCATGTAGTTATTTATGAGAAAGGAACTGTGGCTCACGATGATTTTGTTTTGATCAGGCGTCAAATGATCAGACCAATGTTGATCTGTTCATTCCCTTCTTTTTGGCAAATACACTCGTCATGTACTTTGCTGTGCTAGGCATAATCATCATTACATGTCAATATTCTTGGCCTACAGCTTTCTTCCTTATTCCACTTGGCTGGCTTAACGTGTGGTACCGGGTATGAGTTTTCGAATTTTCGTTTAGTTTGGTGTCTGCATTTTAACTTGTGGCTGCTTGAAATATTTGTTGCTTTTACAGCCATCTCGACTTCTCTTGGTTACAAGAATATGTATCCAATCAAGCAACAAAAACTCATCAACATTTTCTCATCTTAATGTATATGAAATCCTGAATGTTCTGTACACAGGGCTATTACCTTTCATCGTCTCGTGAGATKACTCGCCTCGACTCTATCACAAAAGCACCTGTAATCCATCATTTTTCGGAAAGCATAGCTGGAGTAATGACAATACGCTCTTTTAGAAAGCAAGACATATTTTGCCAAACGAATATCAAACGGGTCAATGCCAATTTGCGTATGGATTTCCACAACAATGGATCTAACGAGTGGTTGGGTTTCCGTTTGGAGTTGCTCGGGTGTACCTTCCTCTGTATCTCTACCATGTTTATGATCTTATTACCTAGCAGTATTATAAATCCAGGTACTCAAATTGTGCATATCTCCATGCTTCTAATGAAGTCTAGCCATGTTCAATATCCTTCTTTATTTTAGAAGATCAACCAAAGTCAGTCGAAGAATTTTCGAAAACTTGGTCTAACTCAGTCATTCTATCTGATGCAGCAACTGTTGGTTTATCGCTTTCCTATGGATTATCCTTGAATACTGCGTTGTTCTGGGCCATCTATATGAGTTGCTTCATTGAAAACAAAATGGTTTCTGTTGAGAGAATAAAGCAATTTACTGTAATACCCTCTGAGGCAGCATGGAGGGTTAAAGACAGTCTTATTCCTTCAAACTGGCCTGCCCATGGTGATGTTCATCTGCAAGACCTTCTGGTAATTTTCTATGAGATCTGCCTCCTATTTTCTGCAAGCTCACTGCAAACAATTTTCTATGTAGTTTTAATGGGTTTGCTGTGGTCATTAGTTTATCTTATAATTTAAATCATATATTAAGTAGCTAGTAGTGATATCCTGAAAATTTCTGGTCCAAACTAACTTTAGTATTTTTTTTTTATTTATAAATTTGATATATTGTTGGAGATTTATGAAGTGAATTAGGAGGATTTGTGGTTTCTGCCTTCATTCCCTGTGTTAATTCTCACCTAACAGTAATATTGAATAACTTTGATACAAACTTCTGAAAAGTTAGTAATTTGAATATGATTTAAAATTTTGGCTTGCAGGTCCGATATCGCCCGAACACTCCACTGGTTCTTAAGGGTATCACCCTAAGCATACATGGGGGAGAAAAGATTGGAGTTGTTGGCCGAACGGGGAGTGGAAAATCAACTCTTGTCCAAGTATTCTTTAGGCTAGTTGAGCCTTCAGGAGGGAAAATAATTGTCGATTGCATTGACATAGGCACACTCGGTCTTCATGATCTTCGATCGCGGTTCGGGATCATTCCCCAAGAACCAGTTCTTTTTGAAGGAACCGTGAGAAGCAACATCGATCCAATCGGCCAGTATACTGATGAAGAAATATGGAAGGTGATCATGAATATACTTCTTTATATCCACATTGTAACTTGTCAACGTTTGGAACTTCTCTCCCATTGTATTACTTGTTATCTTTGCTAATTAAGTCTCCCCTTTGTGTAGAGCCTCGAGCGGTGCCAACTCAAAGATGTCGTTGCTGCAAAACCCGATAAACTCGATTCCTCAGGTGCGTGCCTTAGTTCTCCCCGTCTGACTTATCAAACTTAATCTTGGTTTAACTTGTCCTGTTTTCTGTTCAAAGATTACTTATTTACCAATCATCTATACTATGCCAATTGCCAGTGGTTGCTAATGGAGACAATTGGAGTGTGGGGCAGAGACAACTTCTCTGTTTAGGAAGGGTTATGTTAAAGCATAGCCAGCTCTTGTTTATGGATGAGGCAACAGCTTCAGTCGATTCACAAACCGACGCTGTGATACAAAAGATCATCCGGGAGGACTTTGCGACGTGTACAATTATCAGCATTGCTCACAGAATCCCAACAGTTATGGACTGTGATAGAGTTTTGGTTGTAGATGCAGGTCAGCGTTCTCTCTCTTGTTTAACTTCGTTACTTCCCGGACGATTACTAGTTCGTATATTTTTGTATAAACATATAATATAAAACACAAAGTGAACATGGTGGTTGCTGGAATCATAAACTGCTCTGGGTTAGCAAGAGAACCTATATATATATATAAGTTTTAACTGAAAAAAGATACACGGCTTGATAGACTAAATTTGTAATTTAACCTCCTCGTGATCGAAACTTGAATGATGCTAGTTTCTAGATTTGGATATCATTTTAGTTGATTTTGAAACTTATACCCTGCTATTAGATTCCACTTCTTCTGCCTATCCAATATCAATGCATCAGCATTTTGAATGCCTCTCTACATAATCAATGTAGAGAGCTCCCAACCATTTTTCCTCTTTTGGCTGGCATTCTGTTATGGTATGATAGGTTTGGCAGATAAAGCACATTTTAACCAACACTTATCTCCCTTGCAACAGGACTTGCTAAAGAGTTTGACAAACCATCTAGATTGCTCGAGAGGCCGTCGCTCTTCGGAGGATTGGTTCAAGAGTACGCTCACCGCTCGACCGACTTATAAGCAACCGTTGTGCACTTGCAATCACCAATGAACTGCCAATGCCTAGTCGCTGGCAAAACGTCAACWATTTGCCTTCCGGGACGATAAAAAGATCAAACAGTAACAAATGAATATCCATTCCTCATGGTTGGCAAGAATTTTAGCAGTCTCAATTTTTGTATTTTTACATACCTCGTCTAGTTTTTTTAGTACAACAAAGGTAGAGGATTTGAACTCATAACTTCTTGGTTAGAAACAKGTCGCTGGATATGTAAGATTTCAAAGTTGTCCATGTTATTATTATCGAAAACAAATGTCATAATTGTTTTTGGTATGGAAAATAAAGTCATGATTAAGAGTTTTTTTTTTTTTTTCTCCTGAGAAGAAAAAGTTAATAAATTCAAAAGGCCGATGAATTCTTTCAATGTTCCAAAAATTGTTTCGGAGGAGACAATAAATTTAAGAGTAAAATACATTTTTGGAACCTATTGAGGAAGATGGTAAGAGAGATAACCTATACATATTATTTATTTTCGTGAGACCCACYCGTATGTTATTAAATTAATATAGATTTACCATTTCATATTGATCTCTTGGACAATCCAGGYTTAGAAAATTCCTAAATAATTCTACCTCGGTCTAGGAAAATAATTTTTGGATCGCTCTAGACCGAAAAATAATTTCCAGATCATCTTTCTTCAATCCAGGAAATTATCTATCCAACAATCTCAAACCATCATTTTCAAAAATATTACTTTAATCTTTCAATTTTTACTTCTACCAAGTTAAAAACATTAGAGAAGAAGAAAAGTCATGTTCTAATGATTATCTCTTCTAATCCTTCTCGACCAAAAAAATTTTGGAAAACAAATGTTTAAAGTTAATCTTTTTGGTCTGTCAAATTTGAAAATTTTCCCTGTTGCAATTACAATTATAAACACGAATTTTCAAGGGAAAAAAAAAATTAAAACACTGAAAAGAGGTAAAAAAATATCTTTTTTATTTTGGCACCCTTTGAATCAGAGCAATCCATCGGAACAATCCAGTAACTCAGAGAACAGTTGAGTTGTACTTACTTACTTATTACGACTAAGTCAAGTCAAGTCAAAGGGTGGCACTCTTTCTCGGAGTTGCTGGTCCGAGCTATCTTAAAGTTTAAAAAAATAAAAAATAAAAACGGGTGAAGGAGAGGGAGGGAGGAAGAAGAAGAGAGGGGTATAATTGTCATTTTGCCTTATATTTTAAAATTTATGGGTATTGTTCTTGAGTTTGGCATCCTAAATTCTAATAAACCCTAGCCAGCCTCCGGTCTCGCGTTCTCGTTCGATTCACAGAACCAGAGAGAAGAAGATATGGGAAGATCTCGCAGAAAGTACAAGAAATCTCGGCCAAAAGTCAGGGTCGGCCTTCCGAAGAGGAATCCCCAGGTTTTCAAGCCCTCCTTCTGCATGCCGCCCAAGCTCCGCTCCTTGCTCGCCGAACAATTTGAAGAACATCCCATCTGGGACGAAAAAGCCAGTGTAATTCACAATTACAAGTCCTTCGGCGTTCTTTCTAACCCCAATTTGCTCAGCGTTCGCTCCCGCACCGATCATATCGTCGAGAGCGACTCTCTCCAGGTTCCGCCGCCGTCTCTGCTGCCTTCCGGTGACCCTGATTCCGTTCTCGATCCCTCCGGTAGCGATGCGGAGGAGGACGGTGAGTTTGCTTCCCTTTCGCCGTCTCTTTGATTTTCTGCTCGTATGGTGTACCCCCTTTTGGATTTTGATGCAAACGGGAAGTATATTTGCTTGGATGAAATTTGTATGGTTAAATACTTGACATTGATGATTGTTTTGATGCCATGTTGCTACTGAGAATCAAATTGGTTGGATTCGTTGATCATTTGTAATCTTTTGCTGGATGGGTGTTTGTGAAATGAGAACAAACTTAAGAAATAGAATGATTGGCTTGGTTGGTTGTAATCTAATGTCTTATTGTCTGAAGGGTTATGAGGATTCTAAATTTTGAATTGTGTTACTGAGTTCATCTTGTGCTGGTCCTGTGTTCTTCATTTAGATTTGAAATCAGCACTGGGAAAGAAGCGGAAAGATGGGAAATCTGGGCCTCTAAAACCGTTGACCACGGTTCAGCGCGTTCATGTTGGTAGGCTAATTGAGAAATATGGAGACGATTACGAGGTAAGCTTCGGTTATACTTGCTTGCTYGCTCTTAGAACTGCGTAATTCGCTTTCGTCACACTGATAATTGTGTTCTGCAGAGGATGTTCATGGATACAAAGCTGAACTCGATGCAGCATTCTGTTGCTACTCTGGAGAAACTTTGCAAAAGATATCACTCTTGTCCAGATAAGAATCCGTTGATATTGACCCGTTAGCGATATTATCGAGCGCTTCCCCAACCATTTTTCAAATTGTTTTGTCACAAGAGGTAAAGTCGGAGAAGGTATGATCAAGAAATCTAATTGAATTGAGCAATGTTGTTTGAACCCAAATGTATGAGGCTTGAAAGATGGCTCATTCTCTAGCTTGATTCAGTTTATTTCAAGGAAATGATCATAATTCTAGCCCAAGTTTAGTTAGTGATAGCATCTATGGCATCTTCATTTTAGGGAGACTGCAAGAATTTCAGGTTGTATGCATTGGCTTATAACCTAAATGCATTTTTGATATGTTTAAAGCCATGGGGTTTATGTTTGAATTTATTTATAAATGAACTTCACCCCTTTATAAAAACGGTTGTTTCTACATAACCCAACTGGTTAAAGTATATATCATCCACTAAAAGGTTAGAGAGGCGAATCCCACCCATTGAACTTAAAAAAGAGAAATTGAAAAACTTGGAAGGCATAATTTATGAACATATGGACAATAGGCGCATCTATTTGAAACTTAGTTTGTAGCTCATTTCTTACRACTTCTGTTTTTAGAGATGTAAACAAAAGTTTACTATTTATGGAACATTATTAAAATATCCAAAATATGCAGATATAGTTTACATAAACAAATTCTCATCCTTACCTCTTCCCTGAATATACTAAGGTGTAAAATTGTCCTGAATATAGTTCAATGGCTAAGACATCTTCTTACCTCTTCCCTCTCTTCCCTTTCTGAGTGCCGGACTCGAAAAATGTAAAATACATCCTTCAAACTTATGTATGATGTAATATTCTAAAATAAATAGATGTAAAATTAATTTAATTTAACACTATTTTATAAAGCTTAGAAATTACAGCAAAATGAAAAAAAGAATATGATTTATTGAAACCTGAGTTCACAACAAACAAGCTTTAACCAAACTTAAATTCTGCCAAAGGGACTCGTCGCCTCCTGCCAAGTTATTTTAACAGCGGCTGTAAATTTTGATAACAAATAATATTTACAGTGCTCATACGGAACAGATTGAAGCAGAAACCATCAATTTAGCACCAACAKTMAAATTTGAAAAACAAATTTAATCATGGTAAGGGTAAGTAACTACACTCCCATGAATGCTCGAGACAAGGATTCCCAGTGCTCCTTTGCTTGCTGAACCCTCTCTGCTCTCTCTGTCTGAAGACGTTTGTCCCAGTATTCAGGGCAGCTGTTCAAACATACAAGTGATTCAAAGTTAAAATATCGAGACATTTATATAAATAGCATGGCATAAAACGAATATTTATTTTTAAATGTCGCAAGAGTTTGAAATTTTGCAAAAGAAATTTCATAATTCAAGTTCAAATTCAGATAAGAAAGGTCAAGTGGATAAAATATCGGATACCATACTAAAAAATGATGGTTTGATCTAAAGAGAAGATTTTAAGAAACCTATATTTTCCTAATCGGTTAAAACATCTACACATCAAAACCCGAGAAACAGGATATATCTACTGACCTTCGACTTAATAGAATACTGAGCTCTTCCAAATGTACAGCATCTTCATAAACTCTTGACTGTGAATCAACACAAAGAATTAGATGAAAATGAAGTAGCAGACATCAGATTGTTCAGCTGGTTCGTTGTTTCATTTCAAAATCATGTTTAATCGTGGAAGAGAATTAGCCAATACAATTTTGTTTCTAAGGCCCCGTGTGATAACGATTTCGTTTTTAATTTTCTATTTTTTTTTTCAATTATGCTTGTTTTCTCACCATTTCTTTGGTATGTTTTTCACTTTTTTTTTCATAAAACATTTGAATTCTTAACAAATTTTAAAAACAAACACAAGTTTTTTAAACAACTTTTGATTATTAAAATTTGGCTTATCTCTTGAAGACGATTTTAAAATATTAATAACTAGACGAGGAAATATGTAGGCGGAAGCAGCTGTAAGCTTAATTTTAAATAACAGAAAATAAAAAACWAAATAGTTATCATATAGGACTAAGTAATTGTTTTTAACTTTAGAACCAAACAGACAGCTGAACAAGGTTCACTAAGAAACTATAAAGACGAAACTTACTCACCTCGCGGCAGAGTGGACATTTTTCTTTTGGATTTGCAGACTTTAGCCCATCGATTATGGTTACTGAAGCTGCTGCGCAAGCACACATGTAGCAAAATATATGGCCGCAAGTGAGTGAAACGGGATCAAACAATATATCCTGCAGATAGAATAGTGAAAATCCCTGATGAGTGAAGGAAAATCTCACTAAAGAAACACGAGGTTCCTCGAGATTGGGCGAGTATGTAGTGTGATCGACATAAAAAGTTATCAAAGAAAAATGAACCTAGACCTAGTTGCAAACATAATCTCCAACAATGAGTAGGCTCGTCTGAGAGAACTAGAACCTCCATTGTTGGCACCTCGTGAGTTGGGAATTCCAAAGAGTTAAAATGCAAGCAAAATGATTTCATATCAACATTCATTCCAACACAAACGYCTAAATTGTGTAAAATGGGAGGTGCTTCAAGCTAGCAAAGCATAGTAGCGATAAAGCCTTTGTGTTATACTGTTGAGCCAAGGACGCCTTATTTATAGAAGCAATTATCTAAGTTTTGAACGAATTAGCTCCTTGGTAATGKCTCAATCTATAGATAGTGACCTAACGAAAAAATGTAACTAACCTACGTAGCACTTGTTCGCATTTTTACCCACTAACCACTTCCAATACGTCTCACAGCTAGCTAAGGACTTGGGATCCATGGAACTACTTGAAAAAAAAACGTCTTCATCTCACACCAAAACAAAAATAAACTAATGAAATCATAGCAGTGCTTCAATTTATAAACATTGATCTGCAAGACAGTTGAGTACAAATGAACATTAAACATGATACACAACTTCTTAAAAATGTGCAAAGTTAACGACCAGAAAACTTACCAAGCATATGGAACATGTCAAGTCAATGTCAAGTTTGACTGAATCAAAGAGCTCGCAAGTAAGCGATGGCTTTCCGTCGGTAAATGCAAGGGAACACTCCTCGAATACGGAAGAGATCCTCTTAGATTTGTGCTGTGTCTCCTTCAGGTTAATGTGGAATGCTATAAGCTCTGATAACCATGGTGACTGTAGGATCTCAACGTGCTTACTTTGAGCTTGTGACTTGAAGGTTTGACCTTGCTTGGAGTAATGAATCTGTACTCAGCAACCCAAACAAAAAACTAAGTATTAGAGGAAAACAAAAAGGTTAAAAGTAGAAATCTAATCCATTAACTTTCAATAGTTGTGCTTGGACAAATATTAGTTGATTTGATACAACATGACAATTATTTGACAAAAAGAGGTAGATAATTGAACAAAATAAGGCAGTCCGTGCAACATGCAATCTCTTCAAGTAACCTATTCAATCCTTTGCATAGATCGTGTGACTCTATTTTGTCCAACTGTCTACTCTCTTCTATTATTATTCTGCCACATTCTACCAAATCAACCAAAATTGTTTATGAACATTTCATTTCCTAACGGCGAGACTAATCACGACTCAAACCCTGTAATCAAAATGTTTTGAAGTTTAAAGCATTAAACAGAGACATTTATCAAATTTGTAAATTAAAAAAGAAAAAAAGACAGCGAAGTGAATCGAACTGGAAATAGTGAGACATGTTTGGTAAGTACCTTATCATATTTCTTCAGGATCTTCCTAACAGCAATGGCGTTCATCAATGCATAACTAACCAGTTCCTTCCCTTCTTGGACTAAGACAGCATGGTCGGGTTGCAGTTTGCCTTTGAACCATAAAAGATACTTTCTAAAGCCAGAAGCGAGATGCAGCTCAAGCAATTTCTGTGCTCGCTGATTAAAACAGCCCACTATTGCAGACATTTCCTTGAGAAGGAAGGGGAAGAAAGTCCCATCGCACACTACATCCACACAAATCAATGTAACCAAAACAACAACCTAAAATTCATAATGCAATATACAACCAGTACAAAGTTTACAACAAACAAGCAAAAAATCAAACACCTAGAGGACAATCACAGAGAGATCATCAAAATTCAAGGGGATCCATGAATTGGAAGAAGAAAAGACGACGAAATTAGGACTTGATCGACTTTCAATACCTGAACAATGATCCGGACAGCTCTGAACGGCGACGGCGGCGCCGTCGACGTGGTGGTCTCGGGAGTGAAAATCTCTGCTGCACTTCTTCAAGATCTTCTTGAGCCGTTTGAACTGAAATCCAGGTAGCTTCAGTTTCTTCTCCTGACCTCGCAAATATTCCTCATACTTTTTGCAGAACTTCATCTTCCTCGAGAATCCACTCGATCTCTCGCCCGCGTCGTTTCAATTCCCCGCAATAATCAAATGCAGATAATCCACCGCCTGAAATCGATGCTTCTCTGCAATCGTAGCGCCTTGATTCCGTCGGAATCCGAAACACATAACAAAGGAATCATATATTTTTGCAACAAGGAAGTGGAAAAAAATATGAAAAAATATTGCAACTCTCTCAGAAAGACTGTAACTAACCTGAAAGGGAATTTTCCCGTAGAATGAAAATTTTTGAAGAAGAATGGAAAAGGTGTTTGGACACTGAGAAAATTCAGATTTCTGAGAACAACAAATTTTCTCTGCAATATCTTTTTACTTTTCTGATCATCATCGTCATCGATGAGATTCCACCAGAAACTGAGATTTTACGTTTTATCATGTTCTTTGAAAAATACGAAGGCAAAAACTTTATGGTGTAACAGAATATGAATTATCATATTTTCAAAAAAAAAAAAAATTTGTGGGAATTTTTAAATATATTTTGAATTTTTCTTTGCCGAAAAATTTATCGATAAATAAAAAAGTCAAATACCAGAAGAACGCTTTTGGAAGTATTAGCGGCTGACCTAAGCCTTCATTAATTATTTTATAAGATAAAGAGAAAAAAATTATCAACATTATTTGTCTCATAATAATTAGTCAATATATGTTTAAAGTAAAATTTTTAAATCTCTCACTTATTCAACCGTGTAAAATTGTTGATGTATTATTTTATTCCCATAATAATTAATTTTTGACAAGAGTGTGGATAAAAATAAAGAGAAAATGTAGCGAATGAGATGAGAAAATAGAGAGAACAAAAGTAACTAAAATTATAATATAAAATTAAAACGTAGAAAATATACATCCTGGAAGTAGAGATTTGAATTTTCAATTTTTAGATATTAAAAATGGGAAAATTTTAAATAGTATACATTGGTRGTTGTCCAATTTTTAACCTTAAAAGTTGTATACCCTAAAAAAAAAAGTTAGTATTTTTGGATTTAAATGTTTATTTTTTCCCTATACCTTAAAAAGGTCTGATTTTTATCCCGTCTTTTTATCTATTTTAATTTTTTGTTCTTTGGAGACGTCCATTTTAATTTATATACTTTTAATAAATAATCGTTTCTTGAAATTACACTCAACAAAATTTCTTGAAATATAATCATAACTTTGTATTAAATGGTTTTCATTGTGCATTTGTGTTAAAATATAGCAAACATAGATCCAAATAATAAATATTACAAAAGTGAACRTTTTGAAATTAGAAAGATTAAAATCTAACAAAAGTAACTAAAAATGGAAAGTAAAGTAAAGAGTCTAAAATAATATTTAAATTTTTTTATTATTTGTTTTTTGAAATATATATATATATATATATATATATATATAGTTTTATAATTTTATCAATTTTTTTTTTTGATCTTGTCTGCGAAGAAATATTTAATATCCATATCCGTTTACCACGGAAAGGAAACCAGGGATGCGAAGATCCTGTGCCTGTGGGTGCTACAACGACTTTCGTACAAGGCAAGAAATATAAACTTAAACTTTATAAATTTCAAAATTAAAAAGCTTAATTTTGGGTAGAGTRCCGGCCAAAGCACTGTTCARTGGATTAAACCATAAGGTTGAGAATTCGAATCGATACTCCACATATTATAATAAAAAAAAAACTTAATTTTGGAGAAGGTTTTAAATATGGATGTATGAAAACATCGGGATCTTAATTTTGAATAAATGTTATAAAAATGTAGATGTTGGTTGATGAATCTAATGTTGGGTTTGCAAAGAGTGCAARCAAATCAATTATTTTAATTGGTACAAGGTTTTCTAGATGAAACCAAAAGTAAAGTAGTGAGGGTTATGTCTAAAACGGAYAGTATCACGAAAYAAAAAATTTGATTGGATTGTTTCCAAACTCGATTTTGGCGAGTTTCTTAAAAAAGAAAAACGATTACAAGACACTAATATTTATAAAAAAATTGAAAAACATAAAACAAGAAACGAAAACGTGAATCCATGTAAATTTATTTGTCTCAAATTACATGTTTCTAACTTTCTACTAATTAATCCACCGCCATAAAGTTTATAAAACAAAAACTTTATAAACCTAAATTGTTTTTCTAATTTTTCAAAATCAATTTCCTATGACTTATACTAATAGATATTTTAATCAAAATTTATAGTCTAAATAGACCAGCACGTAATTAAACTTGTGATCTCAAGATATGATATGTGGTTGTCAAGGAGCCATTTTTGGGACCTAAATTACTTATTAAAATAATAAACCAAAACAAAAACATCTATTTGAGTTTATCAAGAAAGATATGTGTGTCCACATTGTGTTGTTTATCCAATATTGGATTAGTTGTGTGTTTTCTTTCAAACTTTCTATATTCTCTTTTTGGATTGGGTTGGATCATCCATTCAATCAAAAAGAAGAAATAAGCAAGTTGCTTGTGAGTGGAAAGTCAAACTTCTACTCTATTTTGCCCACCACTCASCATCCTTCATCCATTTCAAAACTACTATTAAAATCTTCCCATCTCTTTTATCTTTGAAGTTAAAATGGTTTTTCTATCCCGCTGATTTTCATACTTATATATGTTGGATTGGTAAGGAGTACAAACAAAGTCTCACGTTGGTTAGGGAAAAGGGTGATTTATGGTATATAAAAAAAGACAATTATCTCTATTGGTATAAGACCTCTTGAGAAACAAAAAACAAAGTCAAACCTACAAATCAGACACTCTTGGAAGATATTTTAAATCCAAAATTTACTGCTTAGCTGAGTTCATGTTAGCGAGAATTTGTCGAATGAGAAAAATATATATATTGAAATTTGGATTATAAAATCAAAATCATAGGCCCAATTCTAGTAATGTTTGTGATTTCTATTTCTAAAAGTTAAATTTCTTGGGGGTGAAAATAAAATTTTGAATAACTACAGATTTGTTTGATTGAAATTTTGATTTTATTTTGCGATAAATATCATCTATCCTTCAAGTTTCGGTAAAAGTTTCATTTATAGTAGTTTTCAATTTAACTCTTTGAGCTTTAGAAAATGTTTGATATTAGATTTTGATTATCCACACATTTTGAAATAGAAAACACTTGGCTTTTTACTCAGGGACCTTGTTTATTTTGCATTTCAAACATTCGATGGTGGTCAATACAAAATAGGTTGAAACTAGTAAAGACCTAAATATTTTCTTTTAAATTAGTTTAAATTTTAACATAACAATAATAACTTTTATAATTTATTAAGGTAATGTGAGATCCATTGGGTCTGATGCTTTGTTTGAATTTTTTTTTTCTCTATACCATATCAATATTTATGGGATTTCATATCAAAATCAATTATCAATAAGAGAAATAGTCTACTTACATTATAATGATAAACCATTGTTAGGTCGCTTATTTTTTTAATGTGAGATCTTAACCATTTGGAGATTGATTCGAACTATTTTATGAAAGTGATGAGGAGTGAGACATGACTAACCCCTCCAAATTCTCTCAACCTATAACGTAACTTTAATGTCACTTTGATGTGCTTTTAGAATTTCATTAAAGTTATTCTCTTTTTCATGCTCGCATTTGAAATCAGTGTGAAATGATTTTATATTCCAGAATTTTTATCCCTTTATTCAACGTCAAGAAAGTTGAAGAAATAATTTTAAATTCTGTTATTTGAAAATTTGAGAAATGATCTAAAATGAATTAGGTTGTTTGGAACCATAATGATTTGAAATGAATTAAATAAAATAAAAATTTGTACTGATTTGAATTTTTAATCTAAATTTATTAGAAATTAAAATAGAAAGGGTTAAATAAGTAATTTATTTTGAAATTCTGTGAAATTCTACCAAATTTGACCATTTTGATCCATAATTTTTTTTTAAAAAAATAAAAATAGGACTTGATTCAAAATCATGAAATAATAGAATTCATTTGAAATCTGTCAATGATTTTGAAATCTCCCGAAATCTGAGGTGTCAAAATAGACCATTACACTCGATGACTATTTTATTTTTAGTTTTCTATTTTTTAAAATCTAACTTTTAAATACTACTTCTGTATCATATATTTCTAATTTGCTTAGTTACCAACTTATAACCATATTTTCAAAATCTAGAGTAAAATTTATAAGCTAAAAAAAGTAGTTTAAAAAAAAAAAAGTTTTGTTACCAATTTGAGTAGGACTGCTACGGGATATCCCGCTCGCCTCGTCTTTTTAATATTATATATATATTACAAAAACTCTAATTCTTATTCTACCCACCCTTTAAAAATGTTTCCTTTAAATTAGGATTCTCCATAGGTTTTAGCCAAGTATATGAGGATTCATCCTTGGAAATTAACATTTCATTAAAATTTTCTTTAAAAAATTATTTAATTGAGAAATTATTTAATAATAATAATAAATAAGTGGGGAATAATTCCCTGGAACCCAATCCCGACAAATTCTCCGTTAAGAATCCCTGTTTCTATCCCTACAAAATATAGTGGGAAATTTCGCGAGCATGAGGATTGAAATGGGGAGCGAGGATGGAGGATAAGGAAGGATTTCCTCATCGCTGCCTTGTGAACACCCTTAAACATGAGCATATCTAAACGGGTTAAAACTTATAACATCGAACAAAATTTTTGAGGTTCGAATCCCCACCTCCACATATTTTTTAACTAAAAAAAACTTATTTTTATTTTTTGGTTTGACAAAGAATTCAAACGTGTTTGTAAGAATGGCCAAAAACCTACCAAAGAAATTGAAAGGAAGTACCCATAATTTTTAAAAACATAAAATTGAAAAATGAAATCACTATCAAACTTGAACCTTAAGGGGCTATTTTTTTTTTTGAACGTAGATGTCCGGTATCTTCAGATGCCTGGAATCTTGCTTGGAATTTGAGATGTTCGGAATTCAAGATAGATACGTTTGGTTTGTATGAAAAAAATTTAAGTGTGTCAAATAATTTTCAAAATGAAAAATTTTGTTGGAATTCCATTCTGATTGTGTTTGAAATAAATCATTCCAACATTTTTCAAAATTTTTTAAAACAAAAAATCTTCTTAAACGATGCAGAGATAAAGTTAATGTGAAAATAAATACCTAATATCAAAAAACGATGCAGAGAAAATTGAAGAAAGAACTACGATTCTGAGAACTTTAAAATTGAGTGACAGAGAAGAATGAGGCGGTTGGGAGAAAGAAAAATATTTTTGAGGGAATCTCAAAAACCCATATTTTTAAACGATAATCAAAATGATTACAAATCAGGATTCTGAGATGCCGGGCATCTTTCATGCCTTGTCATTTTAARATTACCGCAATCCAAACAAGGTAATCTAGATGCCCATGGGATTGACATCATAAATTACCACCAAACAAACAGCCCTAAAGGTAAAAATGTTTCTTCAAACTTCAAACTTTTTTTTTAATTAATGAATTATTCTACCTACATCTTTATGATTTGGATTTAATTTCAATTCGATCTCTATGATTTTAAAAGTTTCGATCTAATCTATATGATTTAGTTAAATTTTACAAATTGTCAAGTACTAAGGGAGTACTGCTTGTTTACATTATGGTTTTATCTTTACAAATATATTTATAATGTTTGATGACCCCACGTCAATTTGCAACGCTAACATGTCAGAAAGTAAATAGAAAGAGTATTTTTTTAAAAAAAACAATAGAAAGAATATCCTTAGTTCCATTTGTGCTAGAAATTTTTTCATTTGAATATAGCTTAGGGCATCTATTACTATCCTAAAGTACCATCCTTCCACTTTCTTTATTATCGAGTTCAAGAAAAATAGAAAATAAAAACAAAACAAGGAAAAGAAAAAGAAAATTTTGGTAACCACACAAATGAGTAATGGGGTTTGATAAAATCAGAAGGCCCAAATTTTCTAAAATCATATTCATCAAATTAAAATTAAACTTTTTTAGTTAAAATTAAAATTTCAAAAAAATATGATCGGTAACTAAAATTGAAATTTTTTTTATTTCAAATTAAAAATTATAAAAATAGTACAAGGATAATATATATTTTATATATATAACATTTAAGTTTAAATTTTTACAAGAATGACATAAATTGCAAGCTTATACAATTATCATAAATTTAATTAAAAAAAAGTAATAATATTTTTATAATTACATATTTATTTTATTAATTTCCCTAGTACAAACCTAGTATTCAATTTATTGAAATAATATATAGGGAACCGCAAAACAAGCTGCCCGAGAGTCCATTGGTTTTCCACTAAATAAAGTACTCCATTAGTTTTTAATTAATTCTATCCATTTCATTCACTAATATTAATTACAACAGGTTATTCGCTGAAAGGTTTATTAATCACCAATTTTCTCATAAAAGTCAACGTTTATTAAAGAAAGGCAAAATACTTGTTTTACTGGCTAGGACAACATACCAGGTAACGAGAGTTTGAACTTCCGAAGAATAGATATCAATTATACTATACTCATGTTGGCTATCTAGGACTCGTTCGGTAACATTCCCGTTTCTTGTTTCTCATTTACAATTTTCTTAAGAAATTTAAACATTTTACAACTAACTATGTTTCTTGTTTCTCATTTTTTTGGGAACATTCTCAAAATTGTATAAAAATTTTGGAAACAACCAAAACAAGTTTCTTCTTTCTTGTTCCTATTTCCAATTTGTTTCAGAACATAAATAAGACGATTGTTTTATCATACTTAATTCTTAGATGTTGGAGTCATGCAATTCAACATTTTTAAATGAAGAAACAGAAACAAAAAACAGTAATATTACCAAACAAGCCCTTAACTTTTAATGACTGCGATAATGGCTACTTAAGAATACATAATGAAAAGCTTTACGAGAATCACGAGAACTGAGTACCGATAATGCTCTACGGATCAATATTTGTTTTACTATTTAGAACTTAACGTTGAGTTCAGATGTTTTTTCAATTTATTTTTAAATAAGTTTCTTGCATTTAATATTTTTTTAATTATATATATTCTTTCATTTTTCACGTTTTTGAATTGCATATCTTTTTAATGAATATAAAAATTGGTATATAATAAAGTGAAATGACATGATACTAGAAGAGAAGTAGAACTATATACGAGAAGAAAAATTAACATTTTATCAAAAGTCTTAGAAGACTTGGAGAGACTCTTCAATCTGTATCAATCACGTAAACTTATTGGCCAATTTTAATATTGCTAAATAAAGAGATTTTAATTAAAATTTGTAAAATATAATAGAATAAATGGAAGCTTATTAAATAACAAAGCATAAATTGAAATATTGGTCTTTTATATTTTAATTTTTGTTTGTCTTAGTTCTTGTACGAAACGTACATTTTAATCTATGTACTTTTAAAAAGTGATCAATTAATTCATATTTTAAATTTTATATAAGATAAAAACCTTAAATATAAATCTAAGGCTCCATTTTAAAAAATTTACGGAATGAAGTGTCATTCTGAAATTATGACGGAAATAAATGACATAAAATAAATAATGAGAGTTTAAAATAGCTATTTTTAAAAAATATATTAATCAAAATAAATATTTAAGAAGTATAAAGATAAAATAAAAGTAGAAAATTTAAAATAGGAATTTTAAAATTTTATATAAAAAAAATAAAATAATATTTAAATCTTAAATTTATGAACCATACGAAACCCGACGTGGCTTGTGCTTTGCACGTACGCATATCCGAGGCTGGCAATCATCAAGCGGATCAACAAGTGCCACGTCGGCGATGTGCGGTTTTTGGATAAGAACCTTTCCACGCGCTAGGCGATTCTTCTGGACTTCTAGTTATTGTCTCCGATACGAAACCCACCGAAAGCGCTTGCTTTTCACGCTCGCTTTGGTTCCTCCTTATGCCATATTCCAGCGCGTGGCGCTCACTCTCCATCAGGCGCCTAAATTTACCAAAATAACCTTCACAATGTTCCTACTACCTAGTTACCGTTTGGTGCAAATTCGAAATTAAGTTTGTAATTTCCAACGGTATAGAGCTACCAATAACAAAACTCGAGCTTCAATTTCAGTAAATTTGACACTAAATTAGAAAAAGTATAATTAAGTCTATTTATAAATTTCAAACAAAAAAAGTATATAGATGAAAGTAGTGTTTACGAGCTAAATTAAAAGCAAATAGTTATTAAATGGAGTCTAAAATTTTCAATTTCATGTTTAATGTTTTTTTTTTGTTAAACAATACGTGAGGGTGGAGATTCAAACTTATTACCTTTGATCGATGATATCCGATTCAATTCGTTAGGATTTTATTAGATACAATTTTCAACCTTATATATAATAGATTCATTAATTTTTGTAATTATAAAATATTTATTAACATAAAATTAAAAGTGGAGAGAATTATTAGAGTTTTAGGATTCATTAGTCATACTATTGAAATATTAGAAACAAATTGGACACTTTGTTAAAATTAGAGACCAACTTAAAATTTCAATAAATTAACCTTATAATTCTTTTTTCAGGAACTTGTAACTTAACTTAACTATTACTTTTTATTAAACTTCTACTAAAAAAAAGTAAGACGGTCCAAAATTAAATTAGGCGTAAAATCAAAACATAGACTATTAGTGCACAATACAAACTATTAAATAAATCTCTCAAAATTAACCAATTCTAACACAATAAAAAAAAAATCTTAACACAATTGAATCTTACATTCATATTTTTCCAAAATTTCAACTTAAAATATAAAAATTTGGATAAATATAATATTTTATGTTATAAATTCATTTTACTGTTTAGAAAATTAAAACATATAATCTATAATATATTATAAATTATATAATACTGTGAAAGGATAACTTTGCAAAATTTATAATTAATTTATATATGTTTTTTTAGTGGGATGAGATCGAATTCACGACTCTTGATGGGAGATATATGTCAATTAATTTATATTTTTTAAAATTAAATTAAATATAATGTATTTTTCATTAAATTCCTTGTTATTATTTTATTTCTTCAATTTTTTAGCACATGAAATTCCTTGTTTTGATATTTATGTTTAAATCAAACCTACTCCAAGTCTCCAAGTACACGGGTGAAAATGGTCTTACGAGGCGATTGCTCTTCACGCTGGACTTAATTCCTCCATTCGACATATTTGTACGCGTGGCACTCACTCGCCAACTGGTGGCTTAGCTGGCAGAGTCCTTGCCACGTGGAGTTTAACATCCCGGCTATAAAAACGCGCCGTCCACTATTTTTCAATAATATTCTTCCCTCTCCGACGCAAAAGGCGGTGATTAGAGAAGCAGAGAAGCTTCGTTTCAATTTCAATGGCGACTGAAGATAAGCAAGTGATGGTGGTCGGGATCGACGAGAGCGAGCACAGTCTCTACGCTCTGGAGTGGACCTTGGATCATCTCATCGCTCCGTTATCTCCAGCTAACTCTCCGTTCAAGCTCATCGTTGTTCACGCCAAACCTTCCGCCTCCTCCGCCGTCAGTTTCGCCGGACCTGGTAATTGATTTCACTGTCTTCTCGAGTTCTGCTTGATTGATGATTGATCTATCGCGAATCTGCAAATAAATCAGTGATTTTAACTTGTAACGACTGTTGATTTGATTGCAGGAGCGGCCGAGGTTCTGCCCTATGTGGATTCGGATTTGAGGAAGATTGCTGCGCGAGTTATCGAGAAGGCGAAGGCGATTTGCGCCGATAGATCGGTAATCCTCTTGGTTTTTTTTAATTAATTACTTAATTTACTTCTTAAGCGTTGTGGAGTGTTGTTCGATTAACGTAGTTACTTTTTTAGCTTGCTGTTACTAATGACACTAGCGGCGGATTTACCTTTACCAAAATGTTTAGTTAGGATCTTTTCATTTAACAGAGAGAATCTGATCAGATTGAAATGAAAATCGTTTGGAAAGGAAAATTGTGCATCGACAGTATAAGATTGTTGTGGGATTGAATTAGGAATAGGAATAAATTGTAAGATTGTTATTATATAATTGATCAGATTGAAATGAAAATCGTTTGGAAAGGAAAATTGTGCACCGACAGTATAAGATTGTTGTGGGATTGAATTAGGAATAGGAATAAATTGTAAGATTGTTATTATATAATTGTTTATTCATGCTAATTAATGTAGCGCTGTAAAAAGTGATGATACCTAACGAAAAATGGCTTAAGAATGAGATTCTATTATTCACGATTAGACATTATGTTTCTTGAAACATCCAGAACAATTTTAAATGTGGAATGTATCTATTGGAGCAAATAAATATCTTATTCTTACCCCAGTATCCTTGATGTATTGCATAATTATTCGGTTGGGAAGAGAAGGAAAAACTTAGACATTGATATAGCGAGGAATCTTCCTAATTTTTAGTATGATTCGTTTTTATTGTTTAGGAACATTAATGGATTTACATATTTGTAAAACAAAATATAAATACAACAATAGAAAGGGAACATATTAGAAACTCAGGCCCACTATGTAGCTAGTTCTGTTCTTCAACTCAAACCTCTGTTCTCTAATGCTACAGAACGATGGAACTGCAGTTTTGTAATGAAACTTTAAGCTAAAAAGTTGGAAATTAAAGTAGATAACTGTAACCATTCTATTATCAAAGATTATCATACTGAAATTTTGTAATATGGGTGATAAAATCCAGGTGCAGGATGCTGTGTTGGAGGTGATAGAAGGGGATGCCAGGAATGTACTTTGTGAGGCTGTAGATAGGCACCATGCTTCTGTGCTGGTCGTTGGAAGCCATGGATATGGAGCTATAAAGAGGTATTTTTCTACACCATCTCAGATAAATCTTATGGATCAATACTTTTCATGTCTGTATAATAATTAGCTAAAGACTTTCGGAAAATCATGACACAACCCAATTAATGATAATCTAATCAAGATGTTAGAAGCTAGGAAGAATTTCAGCCCGTGTTTGTTTTCCAAAATTGGACTTTGGATTTTATAAAAGTTGATAATTAGGAAACAAAGAAAACAAACACATTTTTTATTGGCTAAACTACCAAAAAAAAAAAAAAAAAAGAAGACCACTGAAAAGTTCAACAAAGTTTCCACAACATTCCACAGACTTATCAAAAACCCTCTGTTTCAAAATATGCTTCTCCTGTGTCTTCTCTTTTTTAGACTTAGCAAGCTTTCACGTTTTATATCAAATTTTCGTTAAAAAATTTAATAGACCTTCGCTTTTTTTGAAATTTCTTGAAAGATTAAGGGAGGGTAGCATTGAAACTTTGAAAAGGGCAAAAGGGCATTTTTGAAATAAAAGGCAAAGTTGATGGGTACTTTCTAATAATTTAGTCTTTTTAAAAACAGAATGTCAAATTTTAAATCACAAATCATTATCAGGGGAGTCTTCATTTATTTAGTCAAAAATAAATATTTGTGATCAGGGGAGTATTGGATTATTTGGTCAAATATTTGGGTATCACTGAGAATGATGAAAGCCCCTAAGCTTAGTGTTATTATGATTTCAGGGCTGTTTTAGGCAGCGTTAGTGATTATTGTGCCCATCATGCTCACTGCTCTGTGATGATAGTAAAGAAGCCCAAAACCAAGCACTAAAATTCATCTCGTTGGATTTTGGTCCTTTTTCCGAGTGATAGTGAGATCCCAAATCATGATACTTTGGAGAATCCCACAATTTGTATATCATTAAATAAAATTAAGGTTTATATTTGATGTGAATTCTGATATATAAATCTCTGTAATAACAAGCCTCCCTTATTTGTGTGGTTCGACTCTGTTTATACATACGTGTGTGTCATTTTAGCTCTATTGAGCTTTGGGAAATTTCAAAAAATAAAAGAAAATAAAGGATAATTTTCTTGCCAATGTAACTTTTTTCTTTTTTTCCTTACTTTATAAAAAACATGAGAATACCTAAATCATTGCACCAAGTTAACTACTTGAATTAATAACTAAATCAATTCTAACAACGTTAAAGGATAATTTCCTTTTCGGCCAAAATTACTTTCCTAGAAAATTGATTTATTTTTTTTCTAATTTTAAGTAAACTTATAATCACCTTATTTTTTAATTTAAAGAAGTGAATTTAAAGGGGTGATTTTAGAAAATTAATTATACTTAGATTTGTTTTTTTTTAAATTACTCATTTTTCTATCCAAACAAGGTTGGCAGGCCCTTAATCTAAGGTTTGATACGATCTAATCTCCCACTATGGAGAGTTCTTCTCAAAGAAGAATAAACAGTTATTTAAGAAACAAATACAATAGTAACAGAAACAACTAACTAATTTTTCAAAAAAAAAAAAGGAAAAAACATAAACAATAGTTACAACAACTATTAACCACTAAATAACCACTGAGTAGCAATAGGAAATAGTCATCTTGACATCTCTCTCAAACGAAATAGATATCTTGCCATGAGACCAAGTAACCAGTGTGTGACAATATGTGTAATATCCCCTCAAACTCGAAATAGCCATCTTGCCATGAGACTAAATAACCATTGTGTAACAATATGTAATATCCCCTCAAATAAAGAAAAAGTCATCTTGACATGAGAGTTTGGACCGAAAATATAGAAGATGATAAGTGGTATGTGGTTCAGTAAGAAGATCAGCAAGCTGCTGGGTAGTATACTAAAGATCGATGTCCTTACGTACAACACGTTCGTTCTCGAACAAAGTGGAAATCACTTTCCACATGCTTCGTCTACCATGGAAGATTAGATTACGAGCTAATTGAATAGCAGATTTATTAACATACCAGAGAACAGGAGCTTCACGACTGAAGATATAAAGATTTTTGAGCAACTGACGTAACCAAATAGCTCAGCAGTTGTGGAAGTAAGTGATCTATATCTGCTTCAGTCAGACTCCGTGAAACAGTGGTCTAATTTTTGGATTTGAGCCGATTGAGGAAGATAACAAACCCGGAGGTAGACCGATGATCAACTGAGTCACCAGCCCAATCAAAGTCTGAGAAAACATGAAGGCGAAGATGATTACCCACGGGACGTGTGCAAAATAAAAGACCAAGAGACAAGGTACCAGCTAAGTACCGAAAAACCCTTTTGGCAGCCTGTAAATTATAGTTGTGAGGAGCATGGACATGTTGAGAAAGTTTACTAATAACAAACATTATATCCAATCGAGTGAACATGAGATAATGAAGAGCCCCGACCAAACTTCTATAACTTGAGTGTCTTCAACAGAACAAGGAGAGCCAATGTCAGAGGGGGAAAACACAAACTTATGGATGTCAAGTTGGGTTTAGCTGAGAGCACGCCATACTGTTGAAGAACATCCTTTGTGTATTTGGCTTGAGTGATGGATAAACTAGCAGAGGTGGAAGAAATTTCCAAATCAAGTCCCAAATCAATCGTATCAAACATTGTTTCAATTGGCATACAAGAGAGTTAACCTTCAGTAACAATAATGTCATCAACGGCAAGAGAAGATCTTTTGAGATAGAAGAATCCGCCATTGAAGCATGCGGAAGGAAAAAAACACATGGGAGCAACAACATGCGTGGAGAAGATCAGAAAATATGCGAGTCAAGCATAATCTGATAGAGCACTTAATAACCGCTAAATAACAATATGTAATATGATATAGGATAAAAGTTGACTCACTCCACGTTATTGGATTTTCATTTGTTCAAGAAGCGCTTGATCATCTTGCTGCAACAAATTCTTCATCGACAATTTTCACTTCTCGCAAATGTTATTGTTATTTACTTATTTATCATTTCTATATATAGATATATATTCTTTATCCCACTGTCTAATAAGAATTATCTCTGTTTTGTCCATTTCAATTTCTAACTGCTCATTTCAGTCTTTATCATTAATTGATTATTTCTTTTAAATAACTAAAACTATTTTTCAAAGTGCCCAAAAAACTTAATTTTACTCCAAACTTAGAAATATTTATTATTCTACTATCCATTTTTTCTTCCTTTAATATATATTTTATTTAGTTTGTAGTTATTAAAGGCGAACAGAAGATTCTACTACCAACTAGCGTTGAGCAACGTGAATTTTTGTTCCTTCTATCTCACGTTTATTGTTGGGATAATGGAGCCAAAACAGATGACCCGTATCCTACAAGGAAAAGGATTTTCAAACACTACTACCAATTCCTACAAGTAGTAGGATATTATTGTCTTATAAGAATTACAATATTGTTTTACTATAAGGATTGAGATATTTGACCTCTTATAAATAGAACCATTTTGTTAAGGTTTCATTTGTACAGAGTCCAAATAAGAGAGATTTGAGTGATTG